AATTTCCTCATATGTGTGTAAAAGCTGAACAATGAATAAGGAAGACCAAGGAAAAACTGATGAATTTGAGTTATGGTGCTGGCAAAGATTATTGAATATATCATAGACTGCCAGAAGAGTACAGATCTGTCTTGGAAAAAGTACAGCCAGAGTGATCCTTAGAAGCAAGGATGGCAAAATTTGTCTCGTGTACTTTGGAAATATTATCAGCAGGGCCCAGTCTCTGGAAAAGAACATTATACTTGGTAAAGTGGTGTCAACAAAAAAAAAGAAGAACCCCAAAGAGATGCACTGGCACAGTTGCTGCTATAAGGGGCTCAAGCATAGCAACAATTGTGAGGAGGTCTAGGAGCAGGCAGAGTTTCGTTCTCTTGTCCACAGGGTCGCTATGAGTCAGACTAACTAGAAGGCACCTCTTAGGCTGGATTCTCTCGAGAAGCAAAACCAGTGACAGTTATGTATGTACATATATATGTCAAGGAAATGGCTCACACAGTTATAGAGGTTGTCCATCTCAACTCCAAGCTGGAGACCCAAGTCTGATGAACCAATTTTTTATCAGGGCTTTAATGAACTAATTTTTGCAGGTCATATGGCAGATAGGCAGTCAGTTCAGCAGGTCTGACAGGTAAGAAAGCAGCAGGTGGACCCAGGATCAGCAGGTTTTAAAGCAGGCCACTAGCTCAAGTCCAAAGAAACGGAGGTTAGAGGATGAGCCATATCCAAGATCCAGACCTAGCAGAGAGAACAGGCAACCTTTGCCTGAGTATCCATATAATGTAAGCTGGCCATACCCCTGAGGAAACTTCCTTTCAATTGACTGACTGCTCATAGCAAACTTCATCATAAAATTGATTCTGTTATATTAAACTCATCATGGAGGATAACATCTTGACTGCGAAGCCACTGAATATCCTGACCCAGTCAAGGTGACACCTTAATTATCACAGCACCTAACAACAATATTGTGTTTTAGGCTAAGTGTTAGTAATTGGGCACATAATAAGATACGAAGTGGGTCTTATATGCAGAATTGCTATAGAATACACATTCATTATGCTCATTATTTATTAGATAATAAATTGGATAATAGCATTATTTTGTCAATAGAATTGACTATATGGTGTGACATAATACTAATGGCGTCGTGCTGTGTCACTGTGGGTTAATGAGCTGGACTTCAAAGTCAGTTTGAGCCGTAAGGTCAGTGGTTCAAACTCACCAGCCACTCCACAGAAACCCTACACAGGGTCGCTATGGATCAGAACTAAATTGACGGCACTTCACAACAACAACAACAACAACAACATAATGCTAATACCTGCAACAGGGGGAAAGTTTCTGCTCCCCCTATCAGTCTGCTTTCATAAGGATTTGGTGGCTTGTGAGTTGCTGTGATTCTGGAAGCTATGCTACTGGTATTTTAAATACCAGTAGAATCACCCATGATGGACAGGTTTCAGATGAGCTTCCAGACGAAGACAGACTAGGAAGAAGCAGTGACGATCTGCTTATGAATATTTAGTCACTGAAGACCTTATGAATAGCAGAGAAACACTGTCAGATACAGTGCCGGAAAATGAGCCCCTCAGGTTGGAAGGCACTCAAAATGCGACTGGGGAAGAGCTGCCTCCTCAAAGTAGAGTTGACCATGATGACGCGAATGCAGTAAAGCCCATGGTAGTGAAGCCAGCGGAACCTTCATTTGCTGATGGGGCACAACTCAAAATGAAGAGAAACGGCTGTAAACATCCATTGAAAATCGGAACATGGACTGTACAAAATATGAATCTGGGAAAACTGGAAGTTGTCAAAAATGAAATGTAACGCATAAACACCGATAACTTCGGCATTAGTTAGCTGAAATGGACTGGTATTGGCCATTTTGAATCTGACAGCAACATGGTTTACTGTGCCAGAAATGACAAATTGAAGAGGAATGGTGTTGCATTCATTCAAAAAGAACATATCCAGATCAGTCATGAGGTACAATGATGTCTGTGATAGGATAATATCCATGTGCCTACAGGGAGGCCCAGTTAATACCACTATTATTCAAATTGATGAACCAACCACTAAAGCCAATGAGGATGAAATAGAAGTATTCTACCAGTTTCTTCAATGTGAAATCGATCAAACATGCATTCAAGATGTATTGATCATTCCTGGTATTTAGAATGCAAAGGTTGGGACCAAAGAGGAAGGATCAGTAGTTGGAAAATATGGCCTTGGTGATAGAAATGATGCTGGAGAATGCATGATAGAACTCTGTAAAACCAATGATTTGTTCATTTCAAATACTTCTTTAGGTAGCATAACAAACGACTATACACATGGACCTCAACAGATAGAATATATAGAAATCAAATTGACTATATCTGCAGAAAGAGACCATGGAAAAGCTCCATATCATCAGTCAAAGCAAGGCCAGGGGCAGACTGTGGAATAGACCATCAACTGCTCATATGCAAATTCAAACTGAAGATGAAGAAAATGAAAACAAGCCCACGAGAGCCAAAATATGACCTTGAATATATCCACCTGAATTTAGAGATCATCTGAAGAACAGATTTGATACATTAAACACTAAAGACCGAAGACCAGAACAGTAGTGGGATGACATCAAGAACATCATACATGAAGAAAGAAAAAAGTGATTAAGAAGACAATAAAGAAGGAAAAGGTCAAAATGGATGTCAGAAGAGACAATGAAACTTGCTCTCCAGTGTAGAGATGCTAAAGCAAATGGAAGAAACGAGGTCCAAGAGCTGAACAGGAAAATTCAAAGGTGAGCTCGAGAAATCAAAGCCAAATATTACAACAAAATGTGCAAAGATCTGGAATCAGAAAACCAAAAAGGAAGCATTTGTCAAGCTGAGCTGGTGAACTGAAGAAAAAATTCAAGCCTCAACTCTCGTTATTGAAAGATTCTCTGGGCAAATTATTGAATGATGCAGAAAGCATCAAGAGAAGATGGAAGAAATAAATAGAGTCACTGTACCAAAAGGAAGTGGTGGTTAATGTTCAACTGTTTCAAGAGGTAGCATATGATCAAGAGCCAATGATACTCAGGGAGGAAGTCCAAAGTGCATTGAAGGAATTGACAAAGAACAAGGCACCAGGAATTGATGGAATAAAAGTGGAAATCTTTCAAGAAAGTGAGACAGCACAGGAGGCATTCACTCATCTATGCCAAGAACTTGGAAGACAACTATCTGACCGACTGATTGGAAGAGATCCATATTTGTGCCCGTTCCAAAGAGAGGTGACCCAACGGAATGCGTAAATCATCGGACAATCTCTGATATGCCTTGCGAGTAAAGTTTTACTAAAGATAATACAGAAATGGCTGCAATCATACATTAACAGAGAACTTCCAAAGGTTCAAGTCAAAGTATGAGTATTCTGGAACACTGAATTGTGCTCATGAGGAATCTTTACCTGGACCAAGAGGCAGTTGTTCTAACAGAACATGGCAACACTGAATGGTTTAAAATTAAGAAAGGTGTGTGACACGGTTGTATTCTTTCACCATACTATTCAACCTGTATGCTGAGCAAATAATCCGAGAAGCTGGGTTATATGAACAAAAAATGTGGCATCAGGATTGGAGGAATACTCATTAACAACCTGTGATATGCAGATGATACAATCTTGCTTGCTGAAAGTGAAGAGGACTTTAAAACATTTACTGATGAAGATCAAAGAGCTCAGCCTTTCATATGGATTACATTTCAATGCCAAGAAAACAAAAATCCTCACGACTGGACCAATAAACAACATTCTTATCAATGGAGAAAAGATTGAAGTTGTCAAGGACTTCATTCTTCTTGGATCAACTATCAACACTCATGGAAGCTGCAGTCAAGAAAACAAAGGACATTGCATTACGCAAATCTGCTACACAAGACCTATTTAAAGTGTTTGGAGCAAAGATGTCAGCTTGAGGATTAAGGTGCACCTGACCCAAGCCATGGTATCTTCAATAATCTCATATGCATGGGAAAGCTGGACAGTGAATAAGGAAGACCATAGAAGAATTGATGGTTTTGAGTTATGGTGATGGAGGAGAATATTGAAAGTACCATGGGCTGCCCAAAGAACCATCAGATCTGTGTTTGAAGAAGTGCAGACAGAGTGTTCCTTGGAGGCCAAGATGGCCAAACTTCGTCTCTCATACTTTGGACATGTTGTCAGGAGGGACCAGTCGCTGGAGAGGGATATCATATTTAGTAAGGTGGATGGTCAGAGAAAAAGAAGAAGACCCCCAATGAGATGGATTGGCAAAGTGACAACATCGATGTACTCAAGCATGACAACAGCAATGAGGTTGGTCCAGGATCACTCAGTGTTTCGTTCTGCTATGCATAAGGGTGCTGTAAGTCGGTAGTAACTCGATGGCACCTAACAGCAACAAGGATTTACAGCTTCTGAACCCCTATGGTGCAGCAATAATGCTGCAGTGAGTCAGAATATACTCTAAAGCAGTATGTGGGCTCTATCCAAACCTCAAATTTGTTTGTATAAAAACTCAATTAAGATACTCAAATGATTTGGTTACAGCTGTTGCAATAGAAAACAAAACAAAAAAAAAGTGTTTTAATTTGAGAAAAGTTATAAATATTTCAAAAGAATAATGAATTTTTTTATGTTTTTGCCTTTTCTTTCCTTTCTTTGAAACTTATAATGAATCCTTGCCAAATGTGACTTGGACACATGCAGTCCTAGCCCTTGTAGTAATTGCAGTACAGAAAGAATACTGAAATTATCAATCTGTTGCAGTTCTGTGTGACAAGTGATAGAGAGTCTCTAATTATAAAAAAAGAAGAACAGATTCTGGCCGTAAATAGGACATCAAAATAAGGGTTTGTTTTTTTTTTGCTGTTGCTGTTTTAATTCTTTATTTAGAATAAATTTAATATTAAACTTTACTGCTTGTTTTAAATTTCTGTTTTTTAAAATAGAAATCAACAGAGTAACCTGATCTATTTGTTCTTCAGGCCCTGGAGAGTGAATTTGTGTCCTGCCAACTTCACCAGTGGATTGATCTCATTTTTGGCTATAAACAGCAAGGACCAGAAGCAGTCCGGTCCCTCAATGTGTTCTATTATTTGACCTATGAAGGAGCTGTCAATTTGAATTCAATAACTGATCCTATATTGAGAGAGGTAAGTTATCTTTCTGAGACATAATTTTCTAATCAAGTATTTTTAAACTAAAGATCTTAGATAGCATCTTCCCCATCCTTTCATTTTCCTGATGAAGAAACTGAAACCAGATGGATGAAGTGACTTGAGCAGGATCATATTGTCAGTGATTAGCTAGATCCTTAACCAAGGAATTCTCTCCAAATGTCCTACTTAGTTTAAAATGAAAGCTTTTTCAATTTGGAATTATTAAGTGGATAAGTTTTTATAATTTCTACAGCCTTAGAAGCTAATCAAATGATGTAAAATTAAGGAAAATAGCTCTGAATTCATTAAAGAAATAGAACTGTGAGTATAAATGCATTTAAATGTGATAAAATATATAATACATGTCATATATAAACATACACAGCTAAACCTGTGAGAACTGGACTTGATGGGGCTGCCTCATTTTTTTCCTGGGTCTCACAAATTTTTGCCTTTGACAAGGAGCAGTCTTACTATTTTTTATCACTCATTTTAGTTTGCTAGTTTTAGTGTCTAATGATATACAAGTGTATGTAGGAACAAAGTCTGAAGTACTTTTCTACATTGTCAGATTTGGTAGTAATGTCATTGAAATTTGTTTCATCTTTGTCATTTATTTTCTAAGAGAAAACATTCAAAATACGGTTTTAATTTAAAAACAAAACAAAACAATTGTATATACCTTGCAAAATCTGGGAACCTATGTAAAGTGGGAGCCTGTCAGAGAAGGAAAACTCATATGTTTTTTCCACTAATAAGAGAGCAATAGCAAAGTGGTAAGAATCCATCTTGATGGAGGTGGACAATTGGTGAAACCTAGAAACACAATGCAGCTCCATGGAGTTCTTGCTTTCAGAGATTTCACTGTATTTTAATCTGTTAATGTATACTCTATATCTAACATAGGAGTCCTGTTGTGGTGCTGTAGGATAATGTACTTGCTCATATGCAAGTTTACATATAGGACTGAAACTGGAGAAAATTAAAACAAGTCCACCAGAACCAAAATATGACCTTGAGTGTATCCCACCTGAATTTAGGGATCATCTCAAAAATAAATTTGATGAATTAAATACTAATGACAGAAAACCAAGAGTTGTGGGATGACATCAAGAACATCATACATAAAGAAGACAAGAAAGAAGGAAAAGGCCAGAATGGATATCATAAGAGATTCTGAGACTTGCTCTCAAGAGTACAGAGGGTAAAACAAAAGGAAGAAAGGAGGAAGTAAAAGAGCAGAACAGAAAATTTCAAAGGGCAACTCAAGAAGACGAAGTCAAGTATTATAGTGAAATGTGCAAAGACTTGGAGTTAGGGAAGAACATGCTAAGCATTTCTCAAGCTGAAAGAACTGGAAGTTAAAAAAAAAAAAAAGAAAAATTCAAACATCACCTTGCAATATGGGCAAAATATTGAATGATGCAGAAAGCATCAAAGAAATATAGAGAGTCATGGTACCAAAAAGAAATGGTTGATGTTCAACCAGGGAGGAAGTAGAATGAGTGACAGTACATTGAGGTGTTTGTAAGCAATGTGATGAAACAAGATGTCTCTGAATTTTTAAATGTAAAATTGACAATCTGCTCTGTAAACCTTCACCCAATTCATAATAGCAAGCAAAAATAATATAAAAACCCTAGTAGGTCCTTAGTCTTTGATCAGATGTTGCCTGGACAGACATTAAGCTATGTGTACCTGACTCTCTCTATATATACATAAATTATTTTTTTTGTTTTCACTTAATCTAGCACATTATAACCTTAAGTTTTTAGAATCTATTTTTGCATGATCCTCATTTCCTAAAATGTTTGCTTTCACTTTCTTTGATTTTTTTTTATCTTCCCTGTACCCCCAAATAGTTCATCAGCAGCAAATTAAGTTTTAAATGAAAATATACTCAGCAAAACTCACTCCCATTCCACAATTCCTAAGCATCAGTGGCACTGGTTAAATTCTTAACATTGTGTCAACATTTTCATCATTTCAGTTCCAATTATTTCGTTGCTATTTGCTTAATCTTCCTTCCCTCAGCCTTCTCATCAATAATTAATATAGCTGTTATACAATTTTGGTCTTATCCAAGGGAGCTTCGAAAAGTTTGTGGACAAAAATCCATTATCTTTTAATTCAATTTTCCCTTGAACTTCCCCCACATATAGATTTTTTTTATTTCTAATTAAAGTGTTGTTTGTAATATTTAGTTCTTCCTTCCTTCCTTCCAGGGATATTTTCAATTTAAGAGTAGCTCAGGACCATAGTCTTATGGACTTCTCCAGGCTCAGTAGGTTCAGTAAGGCTTGATTGTTTAAAAGCTTGAAGTTCCACTCCACATATTTTCCCTTTTTTTTTTTTTGATCAAGGTTTATCCTTGATTTTCCTGGTCAGAATGTTCAGTAGTGGCAGCCAGGGTCCTTCTGTATCAAGATGAAGGGGAATATGTAGACAGTCCTGTAGCCTAGTTTCCTCTCTGAGTCTTAGGTTTTCTTCTTTCTCTTTTGTTCCAGAAAATGACCAGTAGTTGTATTTTAAATGATTGTTCGTAAGCTCTTAAGTCAGGGTGGTGAACCGTTTTCCTGCCAAAATTTAAACACCATTCGCAGGCCATGCATAATTGTCAATTTAAAAATTAGTCTGCTAGGCTTGCAGAATATGCCCTTTGGTTGTTTAAATGATTATATATTCCTGAGTGTTTTTGTGCACATCTCCCTACCCACACCCACACCCAAAAAAGAGGGGATAGAAGTAAATACTATTGAATGATGATGCACAGAGGAGACTATAATCATTGCAATGAAATGATGAATGTAAAACCTGTGTTCTCCCAAGTAAACTAACACTCAATTCACAATAAAAACTTAAAACAAAAACAACAACAACAAATTAGTCTGCTATATTTGGTCAAACATTTAATTAACTCACTCCTAATGTGATGACTTCGCCTCTCATACTTCGGACATATTGTCAGTAGGGACCAGTCACTGGAGAAGGATACCATATTTGGTAAGGTGGAGGGTCAGAGAAAAAGAGGAAGACCCCCAATGAGATGGATTAGCCAAGTGGCAGCATTGATGGACTCAAGTGTGACAACAGTAGTGAGGTTGGCCCAGGATCGGGCAGTGTTCCATTCTGCTGTGATAAAGTCGCTATGGGTCAATACCGACTCGATGGCACCTAACAACAACAAATGTGATAACTGGAACCACGGTTGCCTTGGCAGGGCCAGATCAACTGATTTTGTGCACCTTATGGAGCCCTGGTATGGCACTGTGGGTTAATGCACTACACTGCAAAGTCAGTTTGAATGCAAGGTTAGCAGTACAAGCTCACCCCGCTTCTTGGAAACCGTATGCAGGGTAGCTATGGGTCAGAACCGACTCAATGGCACATAACCACAGCAACATATGGCCCAAGGGCTGGACATTCCCCACCCCTGTTTTAAGATCTCAGACACTACTCAGTATACTGAGAGCTAGAACATTTGTTGTTGTTAAGTGCCGTCGAGTCGGTTCCAACCCATAGCGACCCTGTACAGGGATCCCGAGGGTGTAAATCTTTACGGGAGTAGAAAGCCTGATCTTTCTCCCGAGCTAGAACATAAGTATTAAGAATTATGCCATCATAGATGAATAGAAACATCAGGTAAAGATACGAGCAGTGGATAGTGATCCTGAAGTAACTGTAACTTTCATCCATAGATGAAAGGTGTCTGGAGCTTATGGTATATGCACAGTGACCTGAAGATGATGAGGTCACAGAGATGGATAGAAGGTAGATTGTGAAGGGTTTTTATTACCAAAAAGAATAATTTTAACTGCATTATAAAGGCATTGGGGAACCACTGAAGGTGGGTGATGTGAACTCATGTATTTTTAAATCTTTCTGATGGGAAAATTGAACAGATCAGAACCCACTGAAATTTTCTTAAGAATGCGTGCTAAATTTTCTTAACAATATCATAAGTGATCTTAATTAAAGAAAGTTGCTTAGAAGGTTGAGGATTGTACTATGAATTGGAGGTGAGAAAATAAGGACAGTGAGTAGAGAAAATTAGGGAGAAACTTTTAATTACTTTATTGAGATATCATTACATATTATACAATCCATCTACTTATACTGTACATTTTAGTAAGTTTTGTAGTAGACTCATAGTGTTGTATAGTGTAACTTGAGAAAGAAACCCTAAACCTAGCAACAGTCACTGTAAGAAATGTATATATACTTTTTTTTTAAATAAGGCATTTGAATATGTTTCTGTGTTAATTGGAAAGATCCAAAAAAGAAGAAACATGCCAAGTGTGCAGGAGAGAATGTGTAATAGATTACCAAGCTCTATGAGGGGTAGTGGAAAGAAACAAAATCCAGAGCACAGATAGAGATAAGCACTGGACAGGAGAGAACAACATTGCCTCATCTGAGATTGGAGAGTAGAAAGTTAGCATGGGGACTGGTATAGGTAAACGTGTGTGGATGAAGTGGAAAAGACAACCAGATTGCCTTTATGAGGGTTATACCGAGAATAGGATATGATGGCGCATCAGAAAGCTAATGAAAAATGGAATTAAAGTATAATGAAAGTTTTCCTGAACTTTTCGAAGGCCTCTTGTGTTTTTGGAAAACTTAACACAGAAATGAGTGCTTAATAATTATTATTTATTTCTTGTCTATGTTGTCTTTTTCTGTTGCGAACAGCAGGAGAATAGACATAGAAAAAATTGAATAGAGAAGAGTAATACGTATTTTTTTAAAGAGAAGTGGGATTTTGTCATGGAGTATGGTGGTGGTGATTGTTGGGTGCTGTTGAGTTGGTTCTGACTCAGCAATTCTATATAGGGATTCTGAGAAGTGGCTGGTAGGTTTGAGCTGCTGACCTGTGGTTAGCAGTCTAGTGCTTATCCTACAGTGGCATATCCGGACTCCATAAGAGTATGGTTTGTCGTTGTTTTTCTTAAGTGCCGTCGAGTCTGTTCCAACTCATAGCGATTCTGTATAGG